TTCATAACAAATTCATTAAGTACTAATGGATTTGTCAGCAAAGCATCAGTATCCTACTGGGGACAGAGAAGAGCGATGAGCCCTGCCCCCTGCGGGGATTGCAGTCATGTAGAATTCCCCTATGGCAAAAGTCTGGGCCTCCAGACACAGTGACAACCTGACTTCCAGAACACCGGGGAGGTCACCAGCCTGATGCTGACTAACTGCATGAAGACGAAGAGGAATAGGCAACGCTCTCATACAGGATAGGGACTAGCCAGTACAGTATCTAGAGAAGTTCCCTGCAGAAGAGACCTGGGAGTGCAGTGGCCTAGCTTTGGACATCACTGTCCCCAGTGAAAGCTTGATCGCAGGCAGCAGTGTTCAGGCCAGGTGGGCAAGTTAGTAAACAGCACCTGGGCGAGTCGCCACAGATCCGGGGAAGACCAACGGCGAATTAAGGCCCTGATGTCGCCCCAGCTTCCATCCGGTATCCAGAAGGTCTAGATGTGGTCTATCGCTGACCTGTGGATGTAGGAGATCACTGTCCATGTGCACCTTTAAGTCCTGCCCCCTTTCGAAACACACAGATCCCACAACACGTTTCGAAGTGCTGTAACTCACCGGAGAAATGTTTGGGAACTGAGCTGCAGTTTATGTGTGCTCGTGTTTTACTTACATGCGTGCAGGTGTGCACGTTATTAACCCACATGCATACAGGTGTGCACATTATTAACCCATATGTGTGCAGGTGTGCACGTTATTAACCCACACGCATACGGTGTGCACGTTATTAATTCACATGCGTGCAGGTGTGCACGTTATTAATTCACATGTGCAGGTGTGCACGTTATTAACCCACATGTGCAGGTGTGCACGTTATAAACCCACATGCATACAGGTGTGCACATTATTAACCCATATGTGTGCAGGTGTGCACGTTATTAACCCACACGCATACGGTGTGCACGTTATTAATTCACATGCGTGCAGGTGTGCACGTTATTAATTCACATGTGCAGGTGTGCACGTTATTAACCCACATGTGCAGGTGTGCACGTTATAAACCCACATGCATACAGGTGTGCACATTATTAACCCATATGTGTGCAGGTGTGCACGTTATTAACCCACATGCATACAGGTGTGCACGTTATTAACCCAGATGTGTATGTATGTTTCACTAACTCATCTGCATGCTGCACAATAATTTACTCTCATGTGTAGGGGGGTGAGTTTTACGGACTCGTGTCTGTGTGTGCAGCCCAGGTGTGCCACTCTCCCGTTCTCTGTGCCCGCTGTCACTGCGGTAGGTCAGCGACTCCGTTTCCCCTCGTCCTGGCGGTGAACCTCCTCCTCTCTGTGTTTCAGCTGGTGGGCAGCCTCTCTGACTCGCTGGTCCACGCCTCATCCCTCTGTGGCCCTGCTTCCAGGGACTGTTTGTCCAGGATCATCGTCCCATCCTCCGCAAGTTCGCGCCTCCCTGCCCCATGTGGGAAATCTCGAACGCTGCTCCCGGAGACCTGCAGTCCTGCTGGTTGGACAGACAGCTAGTAAATCACGCGCTGGGACCAGTTCAGCAGAGATCTACAGAGCCACCTGCGCTCAGTGAGCAATGCCTTCGTTGAACATGTCCCACCCCAGCTGCTCAGCAGCTCTCCAGTGTTCCTGTAGGACTGGCAGGGCTGGGGCTCTCCAGGCCACTGCTTAGACTTACACAGCTGTTACACGCTTAGCACTGTCTGCACGTCCGTTCTTGTAGAAGCGCTCGGGAAGTGTGAAGTGTGAGTAGGGTACATTGTGTACCTCCCAGCTCGCTTTGCAGTCTTAGCCAAAATCCCGCTGAGTTTTAAAAAGTGCCACCTGCCTTTTTCCATGCCTCCAGAAACCCCTGATGTGCTTTGTGACGTTAATTGTGGGTTAATTTATTCATGTGTGTTCCTCAGGAGGGAGGGGGGACGTGTGCGTTCAGCAGGGCTGCCGTCGTGCAGCTCGATCCGCGCGGATCTCAGGCGCTCAGCCAGGCTGGGCCTGGTCAGTACTGGGAGGGGAAACTGGAGGAAAACCAGGCTGCTGCTGTAAGTGGTGCTGGTGGACCAGTAGGGGGCGCTCTGCCCTCTGGATCACAACCTCCAAACCAGTTTGCCACTGTGGTGACTCCTGTCCTGACTGGGAGATCTCATCTGTTTCTGTCATCCCCAACTGTTTCTTGGAAGGAGCCAGGGTATCGGCTTCAGTACGGCTCGGTAACTTGTTCCACACTCCCACCACTCTCTGTGTAAAGAAGTGCCTCTGTTCTCAGTTTCAGATTCACTTCTTTAGTTTCTACTGGTGTCCTCTGGTTGGTGTTTCACTGTTGATCCTGAAGGAGTTTGCTGGGTGGACTGTGTCAGTAATTTTGAGGAGGGTAAACCTCTTCACAAGATTTCTCCTCGTAATCTCCTGTGTTCAGTTCCCTTTCCCTACTGCTCCGTTTTTTAGTGGGGAGTTCATCTCCTTTCACCCCAGAGACACTCTGCCACAGCTCCATGCTCGAGCTGAGTTAGGATGATTATTCCCTCCTCTTTCCTGTCAGAGCTTCTGAAAACCAGTGCATTCCCAGAGTTCGTCGTTTTGATTGATGTTTAATTTATGTTTGTGTATTTTTGTCATCCGTGCTTATGAGTATTAAAGGATTAACGTCCATACCTCTGTGGTGTGCTCTCTTCAGGACAGTCTTGAGGGCAGTAGCCTTGAGGGGCCCACTCAGTTTCCACACCCTCCCTTATCACACAGAGACGTGGGGTGAAAGTGTGACAAATTGGGGTGCTGTCTGTGTGGAGTTTGCATGTTCTCTCCAGTTTTCTCGTGGGCTTCCACAGGGTGCTCTGGTGTCCTCCCACAGTCCAAAGACTTACTGGCAGTTTAATTGACTTCAGGGAATGCGGGCCCCGGTGTGAGTGTGTGTCTGTGTGCCCTGTGACTGACTGGCGTCTCATGCAGGGTGTACCCCGCCTGGAGCCTGGAGCCAGGAGCCTGCCCGCAATGTGGCTGCCCTGCGGCTCTGAACTGGGTAGAGCGGTTAGGAAGTGGATGGATGAATAATTTATTCTATGATCTGTGCTATAGAGTATGTAATGAAGATATCCAGTTGTACTCTAGAAGGTACAGTATAATATCCCGACGGAAAGCAGTTTTCTCAGGCTGGCACAGGGCCTGTCAGTGCTTCGTCTCCCGGTCAGAGGGTCTCTCCTTGTGGTCCAGGAGCGCTCCCTAGGAATCTCTTCCTTCTCCTCCTTCCCACCTGCGTCTTGCAAGTCTCTGCTCCCTCTACTCGCAGGGTGGGATTTAAACTGAACCCCTTGCTGTTACGGGGTCATTCCACGGGGCGAAACACGCCGTGCTCGTGTGTGGGCGGACAGTGCATTGATGTCGGGGTGATGTACAGATCGAGCAGCGCTGACCATCTTGAAATCGGGAACTCCCCTCCCCCCACAAGAATGCCTTGCTAATTCCTAGACTTCGGCCCAGCCGAGGATGAAGTTCAGCTCAAAACGTACCCTCCATTTCCCGATGGGTGACCCCTCCTCACCTCTCACTGCGAGGGGGCCGGGGGGGTAGGGGAGAGAGACACGGCTCTCCTCTGTGCACGGGCCGGTCAGCGATCACCCCTCCCAGTTACCCCCCTACCCCGGACCTGACATGAAAATCAGCTGCCTGGGTGACAGTCAGTCATCGTGCTGACCCCTCCCAGCCACAGAATAAATGCTGACTGGCCCCCTCTGAGCGCGTGCTCGTGCCCTAAACACACACACAGTGGCCCACTGGAGGCAACAATTAGCATTGGTCATTAATCACGATGAACAAAACGCTGCCAAATGGCTAATGCATGCTGAGTGTTGTGGGATTTAAACACCAAAGACATTAGTGAAAGAGCGTACTCCAGCAGGGAACCCCTCTGGGCAAGAGGGCTGTAGGCCTCATCTATACGATCCCTCGCTGAGAGGCGATGGCACAGCGTCAGAGCCTCATAGGGAGAGGATATTCGCACTCAGCTATTTCAGTCCACTGTGCTGCTCCATCAGAGAAGAATATCACTGCACAGTATCGCACACGGCAAGACAACCAGGGCCTGGACATACCCAGAGGACTATTAAAACTTTCTGCGCAGAACGAATTCATGTATTTCTGTATAGGTAAGTCCAGTCAC